GAGAGAGAGAGAGAGAGAGATAACGATAACAAAAAAAATCAAGACAACACAACGCATGTGTGCTCTTGGATGAAGGCGTTCTAATCTTTGTGCTGGGACCTGGGTCAAGGTTCAGGGTCTCGGTCTCGACTACCCGGAAAAGAACCCATAAAACACAGTTCTAAGTGGGCAATCCGCAACAGCCCTACGCTACATTCATCTCCCGGCCACGTTAACGCGGGTGATGAAGCTTTCCGGGATGCCCAAAAAGGGGATGATCGATGCCAGGTGGATCGTGCCCTTGATGGGAAAGCCGCGGCTCTTCATGGCCTTCATTTGGGAACAGGCGAGCCAAGGGGGTTGCAAGTCCCCCATCCCAACCGTAGCTCCTGCTAGATGTCGGGGCCGAAAGGCTTCAGAGCTTGGCCTTCGGGTACCATACCCACAGCCTTGATCGTAACCACATAATAACAACTATTGTTGTTACTCTTGTCGAGCCCATTCAAAGGCTTCCACCTCCTGGCCTCGTAAATGCTTTCAATGTGCTTCGGCTCACGCAGGTCACCGGTGAAGTACACCATGTCCTCTCCTGGCGCTGTCCGGGCTCAGGGGCTGGCCGCGGCCTGGTAAGATTTCGATCTGGTACAATTCAAGGACGACATGCCCTGAACCTGAAGCCTGCCTCCAAGAAGTTAGCCTCAAACAGCAAACTATGTAGACTTTGAGCGGAATCCTGATTGAGCACCACCCTAAACCTTGGAAGCCCGTATATCAAGGATCAAAACCTTAGCCCTCTACCCTAAGCCCGATCGCCCTTAAGCCCATATCGGCCCAAACCCCAGACCTCATTGAACCCCCACTTCGAAACCAAGTGTCGCAAGTGCTTCGGGGGGTTGATGTCCACGCAGACGAGGTTCAGGGCTGCCTCGTTCGGGCTCGCATGCGCTGGAGTTTTTTGGAGGGCTCAGGATTCGGGGTTGGGGGGGGTTCAGGTTTTCGTGTGTTTGATTTGGGTTTTGACTTGCCCTCCAACTGATACTCAAAAAGGGGTTTAATTATATATTCTACTCCTTCCAATTACAAGACATGGATGCCCTNNTGTCACTACCTCCCTGTGTCAGGATCAGGGGTGCACGGTGCCTTGTGCGTTGCTGCTGCCTCAACGAGGAGATCCTGAATGCGGACCCCAACGAAGCCGCTGCTTCCAATCAGGAGAACCTCGGTATCGGGATGCGTCAGCTTGTCGTCCAGAGTTTGGGGTTGTGGTTCAGGTGTTGTGGTTGGTGATTGGATTCATGGTTTGGAGCTGGAGGGCTTGGAATGCAAGAGTTTACCTAGGGTTCCAGGCTCCGCATTTACACTTCACGGAAGGCTAAGGGCCTAGCTGGGAAGTGCTGGGAAGTAGCTGCTAGAGACACGAAGTCCCTTAGCGGACCCTAAACGGAACCTGCAGGATGTACCTTAGACCCTCGTTTCATAGTTCCAAGACCTCGGCTCGGTTGGACACCCACTTTCTCGGAATTGGGTCTTTGCACGGTTCTGGCCCCTGGTAACCTTAAGGTGGCATGCAACAGCCACCTCTGTCATAACACCTGAACCCTTCCTCACCCGCACGTGTTCCCACTGGACCGCCAAGGAACGGTTCCTTTCTCCTTCGAGAAATGCTTCTCCACGACAGCGGCGTGGTCATTGAGGGCCTCAGGCCCACAAACATCCATCGACTCCAGCCCAAGCCTAAAGCCCTCATCTTGGGGCGACCATGCAGGCGAAGCAGTAAGGTGCTGGGGCCTTGAACTCGCCAAGGCGGGCCCACTTCGCCGCCACAGCAGCTTGCGATCGCTGGCCCGCGAAGTAAACTGCCGGTGGGACCGCAATCAAGGCTGCAAGGGCAAGCTCCATGATGACGAATCCCCGACCCTAAGCGCGGAGCTGTTAAATCCGGAATGGAGGAGGCAGTCTTTACCAATTGGGCTTTGCATTGTGAGCCTGCTGTCTTGGGTCTGAGCAGGCACGGATGATGTGTACCACCTGTTGCTCACTCTCCTTTCCCAGTGTAGTCGAGTTGCCTGCAATCGCTCGACTAATTGTCACTGCTCAGCATACTTTGGCTAGATTTGGCTAGATGTATCACTATGAAGCAAAGCTTGAACAGAACAGGGTTCAGCGAGCATCAGCACGATGTCGCGACAGTCAGCTCGGCGGAAGCGTCAGACACAGCAGAAGGAAAGAGTCTTAATAATAATAATCATCATCATAGTCATAATAATATCCGCCGACCCCTGCTGGGGCGGCGCCAGTGAAATCCCGAAGGGTTGGTTTTTGCTTGTCTTCCCGTCAAGAAGAAGTAACAGGCTTCAAAAGTTGGCGACACCGCCACCCCACCACCCACACCGTTTT